GAGTTTTGATATCAATGAAAGCTGCAGTAACTGCTTTCATATAGCTCTTATGGTTGTTGAATGTCACTCTTCCAGAACCTAGAAGCAAAAATTACATGTTTAATTTGAAAATAATTGAAGATTTAGCTTATTTGTGTAGAAGCCAAATGTGGCTATGTAGCATTAATTTTTGGCAAGTTATTTAATTTTAAACTATATACATTATCTTTCTAATAAGTTGACCTGGTCTGTAAAACTGACTTACAAATTATAATAAGTGATTCTTAATTTTTGCATATTTTTTAGAAGTCCAAATAATGCACTTTTAGAATAACTTTTAAATGTTCTAAGAATTTGATTACAAATGCTTCTCATTATTTTTAGAATTAGCATAGAAAGGGCCAGCTGAAGATAAACTATTACAAACTAAAGAGTTATAAAAGAAAATACATTGGTCACAAAAATTCATTATTTCACGACAGCAATTAATTCAGTCTATATAAAGGCAAAATTAAGAATGATAGAACTGGAAACAGTTCTGATAAAAATTATCAAGAGCCTCTAAAGCCATATTTTTATTTAAAAAAAATAATAATAAACAGAGGAAAACTGAAAAATCATCTTAATACTAAAACAATTGAAGCCATTTACAAGATGCCCACTGCCTTTAAGACTTTAAAGATGTTTTGGTTGGTCAAAACATGTTCAAAATTTGAGTGTCGAAATTCCAAATAAACTTATCCCAACTATTCTTGAAGTTCAAAAACAATGAGTTTATACTTACCAATGGGATATTTGTGCTTGTCTGTATCTATTCCAGCATAGACAACACCTCCGAACAAATCATTCATGATAAGTGCTAAACCTTCAGCATTTAGCATGCCATGAAGGGCCCCCACAAAAACGGTTTTGCTAGGATCTAGTCTTTGAGAAGGACTGAGTACAAAATTGCTATCACTTATTGACCAAGGTATCACTTGAACCTAACATACAAATTTGAACGAATTATAAATTTTTTATAAGCACTGAGGAAATTAAATGTCTTTGGCAATGATAATATAAAAAGCACTGAAGCAATACAAAGAAATGCAGTTTAAGCATGTCTATTAATATACACATTACATAGAAAATACAATTAGTTTTAATTTTTACACAATTGGTCTTTAATTTAGAAAAGACATACTATTAACAGGGATGAGATTGGCTAAAGGGCAAAAAAGCTGAATTTCCATGTGAATAAATTTTACGTTGTCGATAGAAAAAAAAAAATGTCTCCTTTATAGTAACTAATTCAAGAAAAAAA